TGACTCGAGTCGTTTGCGCAACGTCCCTTAGACAGGGTGAAGTTCTATGGCTCTGTTAAGTGTGCCCGTCGAAGATTAACTCTCCAGCAGCAGTCTAGCTATCTTGTAATTGACCCGGGCTATTACCTTTGCTTTGTCAAAGGCGAAAAACCGATGCTATTGCCGTGCGTGGTCATAAACTAAAGATAGCTTATCCTTGCGGATGATTGCCTGTTGATTTTCATGCAACCTTGTGCCAAGTCGTCTTCCTGCTTCACCAACATCCTTTGCGTCGCAGTTTCGGCATGGTATACTGTAGACCACAGCTGACTGTTCTGTCAGTGGTAGCAGGTCTTTGGGCCTCATGATCTGCTGTCTGATGAGTAACTCCGGCTTATGAGCCACACCGATCCCGAATGGTTTCAGGATTCTTGCAGTCGGCTCTGCTACGTTCTTCACATAAGGGATTGTGTGCCAGAACTTGGGGTCCTCTCCTTTTGACCGCTCAGGATGAGGCTTCTTAAGGCACTTACGTACGAATGACTTTGGATAACTGTCGGTTTGAAATAGGGCATGCAATTAATTAATCTCCTCCTTTTTCCAACTATCGTCGCTGCGATGTGTCTGAACGCGTTGGAAGAGGGTTCTAACACAACTGCGTTTGTTACTAACGGGATGGTTACTTCTGAAGTGGAGGATCCGCATGGAGTTAGTTCCCTGCGGTAGACCGTTGTCCTTATATCCCTGTCTTTCAGCTTCGTCACTTGCACGTCGAGGAGGGGTACCTGATTGTTAACCTCTTCTTCCATAATAAACTGGATGTCAGGAAAGATGGAATCCAACAGTCCCTTGAAAGCCTGCACTTTGCTCCTTTTGATGATGAAGGACGTGTCGTCGACGTATCTGACCCAGAACTTCGGGGGAGACGAGCTGAAGACCAGCCGCTCGAGAATCTGCAAAACAGCTTCGGCAATAAGGCCAGCCAGAGGCGAGCTCATCGGTGTCCCATTCTTTTGTTCGTAAACTTGGAAATGGAATGTGAAAAAAGATTTTAGACACAGTTCTAGGAGCTCGATGATGTGCACTGGCTTGAGGTTTTGGTCGGTTTCATCATATTTATCTTTTAGAAGACTATCAATAGTCTCGATAGTTAGTTTGGGTGGAATAGAGGTGAACAATGAGATCACGTCAAACGACAGCATCACCTCGTCTGCCTCCACTTCCAAGTGTTAGATATGTAGCGGTCTAAGTAGTGGTTGTACTCGGAACACTACAATCATCAGGTCAAACCCTAGGTTGGAAGGTAAAAGGCAGGAGTCACCAGAAGGAGTGATTTATTGTATACAGGACACCATACTGCTGTCTCAGGCGGCAGCGGCCACTGGCGATGCCATTACTAGTGCTGACTGCGTTCAGCCAGACCTGAGAGAGTCGACTTTGTGTTGTGTGGGGTGATGACAGTTGCTTTTACATGGCTGTGAAGTTAGTTCAAATGGTTTACTATTGGTGTGTTGCAAGTAGCCCGAGGGGATGTCACTTGCAAAGGTCTTT